GAGATGTCAGTGTAATTCCACTCAGATCCCTCCCTATGGTTCCTGCTTTCCTTACGCCCTTATCACTTCCCTGTTTATCTCTTGCCCAGGCCATTGCTTAGCCTTCTAAGTATCTATCTCCAGGCTCCAAACTCTGCTCCCATTTGGCCCATTATAAGGAATCTGCCAGTAAATCTGCACAGTGCTGAGGTCACATATGTATTGGCAACTCTTAGGGCTAGATCCCGTTGAGGCGTCGCTGATTAAGACAGTTAGGGACCACCACAGTGACAAAAGGCAGATGTACTCCCAAGGCCTTAACTCATGATCTACTGCTCATTAAAAGTATTACAAAAACGGAATGAGTCTGAGCCCTCAATTATAACAGGGACTTAGAGAGGCAGCCTTTGCTAATAAGCACTGACTTCACTTGGACCTGCTGATGACTGATGGGTAACTAAAAAAGGATCAAGCTTGGCATCTCTGCCTTCATTTTGTATCTGTCTCCTTTATTACCTTAAACTGTGGGTCAGATTTCTGCTCACCTTTGTACACAGGCGTGGTAAGCATTTAAGGAGGGTTCATTTAAAGCTGGCAATTGCCTGTTTCAAGGCTGAAGACACCAAGATAACAGTAAGTAGGTATTTTTCAAGATTTGCAGGGACATTCTACTACTCACTTTTACAACTTCCTTCTGCAGCAGCACCTGGAAATCTTCAGACAGTGTCGTAAACCTTCCAGGAACAGTGGAGCCTTGCAGAGAGGTTACCCCATGAGAAGAATGACAGTAAGCAGAGACAGTCATCTCATGGGAACCAAATTGCCCCTTTCCAGGTTCACAGGTCTGTTAATCATCCTGCAAAACAAATGGAGATTGCTCCCTCAAATGATAAGGATTTCTCCCTTCTCTGGAGCCACAGACAACTCACCCCCAGCAACCCAATAAAAGGTCTGTCCTTCCTGATTACCCACCCCCCAGTGCTCTCTCCCTTTTCCTTGAGGTACAATGAATTTTGCCCGCAATGAATTTTGCCTGTGTATTCATATTCTCGACTGATTCAGTTTCATTTCTATTGTTCCTGGGTCAGCAGTTCTCATCTCCAACATCATGCTCCAACATCATGACCACATGACCAATTCCTGCTTCCTTAGTTCACAATTTCACTTCTCCTTATTTTTTTCTATGTCTTTCTCTCCCTAGTGTTCTGTAAATTGTCTGTGCCATGGAACTTGCTTGTTCTTTCCTTCAGTTCATAGTAGGGCATTTACTATACCACATGTTTGTGGCACAGGACTTTATAGTTTACCAGCATTCTTTTTTTCCCCCTGCCTTATTTATTACATTAGGAATCAATTACCTTAAGATATATAGAATCCCACCCCCACATGTAAGCTATTTCAATTTTGTGTGTGTGTGTGATGCTGGGATTGAACCCAGGGCCTTGTGCATGTGAGGCAAGTACTCTACCAACCAAGTTATACCCCCAGCCCTATTTCAAAACTAAATGGCACACTTATAAATAGCTCAAGGTCAAGGAAGAAATCACAATAAAAGTAAATAAAAAGTGCTTTGAACTAAGTGATAATAAAAGCTTAAAATATCAGGATCTCTGGGATGAAGTAGTACTCAGATGAACATCTATAACTTAAAGTACTTTATCAGAAAGAAGCTAGAATAACAATAAATGATTTTCAAATTATATAGTGGGAAGGAAAAAATAAGAGTAAGACCAGAAATATATGAAATAGAGAAGAAATAATACAGCTAAAATTGATAAAAAATAAGCAAGTCTATTCAAGAAAAAAGCAAGAACATAAAAATTAATATCAATGGAAAAGGAGCTATCAAAATAACACTACAGATGCTAAAAATATATTAAGGTCATATTATAATTGTATGCCAACATATGTGATAGCTTACATATCATCTACCAGCATTCTTGAAACAATTTTTGGAGCTCCTGTCATGTGCAAGGTACCGAGGTTAGCCCTGGAAATACAGTGTTGAGCAAAGAGAACTGTTTCATGAGCTGTCAGAAGGATCTGTTAAGACCTTTGGGGCTAAAAGTCCTCTGTTCCAAAATAAGTGGATTTGGCATGAAAGATATTTTTCCACTGTCCTTCTTAACACCTTTGTCCTGCCTCCCCTGAAACTATAGTCTTCTAGCATCACACGGACAAAGTAGAGAAGGTAGAGAACAAGACTGAGGCTTACAGATATCTAAAGGAAATTACCGACCTCGTGAGTATCATAGGAGCCACTGCTGGGATGCTGCAAGCCCAGTGCAAAGGAGCTTTAAACTTTTACAAAGCTATTTAGAGTTAATGAACACCTTCCTGTACTGCAGCACCTTTATTTCTTTCTTGTTATAGTAACTAACCACACCCATAATAAACACTGTTATTTTTGTGAGTTTAGGCTAATTTGATTTCAGAGCCTCAGTTTTCACTGATAACGTGTGGTTGGAAATCTCTTCCTTATCATAAAATTTTAGGATGATAAACAAATTAAGGTATATAAAGAACTTTAAGGATTATAATGTGCAACAAAAATGTATAGTATTATTAGTCTTTTATTAAATGCTACTTTCTTCAAACCAATCACATGACCAATACTTATTTCAGAAACAAGCACTCAGTGACTTTGAACTTGTGTGATCTCCTGCCATCTCGCCCAGCCAGGAGAGGTGACTGAAATACTCTGGTCTGGATGGATAGGAAACAAGACATATAACACAGATGCATAACAGAATGTACTGCATGCTACAAATATGAGCCTCACATGTAATTTAAAATTTTCTAGTACCCGTATTTAAAAAGATAAAGACGCTGACAAATTTGAATAATATAAAGATTTAACCTACTATATCCAAAATGTTGTCATTTTAATATGTAATTCATATAGAAATGATTTGTGAGATATTTTTACATTCCCCTTTGACACTAAGTCTGTTTGATCATGTGTGTATTTTATACTGACAACATATCCCATTTTGGACTAGCCACAATTCCAGTGATCAACAGTCACATGGATACTGTGTAGGGCAACAAATATAAATATAAATGTTAAGATCAAGTGGTAGTGTGCTCACCTGGCATGTGTGAGACACTGGATTCGATCCTCAGCACCACATTAAAAAAAAAAAAAAAAAGAGAGAGAGAGATCTGTGCAACACTTTAGGGTTTTCCAAAAGTTTTTGACATTTAAATCTCATGTATCCAGGGTAGGTGTAGGTTTACCATCTTCATTCTGTATATATGAGAATCAGCAGCAAATTATGTGTAATTCTTTCAAACATCCAGCTACTAAATGATGAACTCAATCCTTGTCTTCAAACCTGGGCACTTTCCTCTTTGCTTTCTTTTCTAAACAAGCAAACCAAGAGCACACTGGAATATTATCACACATGTAGGTTCCAAGACTCATTGCAATGGTACAGAAAAGGAATCCATTTTTCTTTTTTTGTATGGGGGATTGAATACAGGGGCACTTTACCACTGAGTTACATTCCCAGGCCTCTTTAATTTTTTCTTTTGAGTCAGTGTCTCATTAAGTTGCTGATAGTCTCATTAAATTGCTAAGGTTGTCCTCAAATTTGCAATCCTCCTATCTCAGCCTCCCAAATCACTGGGATTACAAGTATGCATCACCACGCAAGATTAGAAAAAAATATATTTTTTCAAAATTCACCAACAATTTCGCGTCGCGTCTCTGCTCAAACTCCTGCCCAGTTTGAAACTCACCAGAATCTATTAGCTGTTATTCTAAAAATATGTGTGCTGGATCAAATACTTTGCAGCTACGAATGAAAATGTCACAGGGCAAGAATTTTAAACCTTTATTCTCTATCATGTAGTGATTTACTTTTTATTCGTTACTTAGTTCTTCAGCATCCCGAATGTAGGAAATGAAGATTCTTCTCTTCCAGTTTAAAAAGCACAAGTATGCCAAATATTCATGTCATAGGATAACCAGACTCAGCCAGCTGGCTGTCAGGTAGAGAGTCCTGTTCAAGATTACAAGATGGCAAGCACGGAAAGGTCAGGGGCTGGACACGGATAGGCTAGCTCTAGAATTGCTGCCTTAAGAAGTACCCATCCCTAGACTGATGTTCCCGAAGAGACTTTGCTAAGGGCTGCCCTACTGCAAGGCAGAGTTGGGCGTCGGAGACACAGAACCACTCTTAGGAGCCCAAAGGGCCCGTCAGTGGCCAACCCTTCCTCCTTCGGGCTACCAGTCCTTTTCCTGACGCTGTGGGAGAACGGGTGCGGAGTGGTGGATGGAAAGTAATAAAAGGCCTGTAAAACTTTATCTGCTGGTGTGCGTCCTCGTAAATACCCTCCACGGATAACTAAATTAGGTCGGCAGTAAGAGCTGACTGTTTCCTTCTCAGGACAGCCTGGAGGGTTTTTCTTGTTTTGCAAAAGGCTTCTACTTCCTCCTGGTTTCGTATATTCACACAAGCGCAGCTGAAGATCTGCGCAGGTGTTTTGTGCACGCGTGTGATTTTCGCCATCGCCAGGGTCTCACATTAATTTCCTTAGGACGCCCCCGGACCCCAGGTTTGTGCGCGGAGCTCCCGGAGCCCTGCCGTGTGTGTGCGTCACCGTCAGCGTAACCCTGCACACAGCCGACAGGAGCATTGCGCACGCGCAACGCGGAGCTGCCAGCAACTTCCGGACGTCCAGGGCCGGGGAGGGGAGTGACGAGTGGGGCCAATTCGCGACGCCACTTTCTGACTCCAGCACTGAGGATCCAGTACCCATCCTCGGAAGCAGGGTCCGGGAGGAGGGAGGCCCGGCCGGGACCGGGAAGAGCCGCTGAGGAGCACAGAAGCCCAGTCCGAGGAGTTGCCCTGCCCGGGCCAACCAGGGACCAGGGGCGGTTCCCGGAGCCACGCCCCCTCGCGCGCACCGCGAGCCAGCTAGACTGCGCAGACGAATACGTGACGCGGGGCGGCGCCGAGCAGGAGGGAGGGAGGGAAGATGAAGGAGGGCGGGGGAGCAATCGGCGGGACCAGCGGCGGCGGTAGCAGCAGCATGGCCGCTCTCTATGGGGGTGTAGAGGGGTGAGTGCGGCCCGACGCCGGGAGCACGGGAGGGGCGGCCTCGAACATTCCAGGCTGGAGGGCGGGGCGGAAGGTCGTGGCCAGCAGGGTGTGCAGGTAGCCTCGCACCTCAGGATCCGGCCACTATGGGCTTCTGGGTTGCAGGGCCTTACGGAGAAAGGGTGTGTCACGTGCAGGGCCAATCTTAAGTGCGAGGCGTTGTGCCTTGCAGGGTCTCGGTGAGTGCCAAGGCCACACCCCAGGGGGTCCTTTGTATTTTACGGCGGAACCACGCCCCTTTCTTCCACCGACAACTCACTGGACAGCCCACTCGGCGTATTCCCTCTGGGAAAGCAGCTTTTTCCTCATTTCCAGATCCAGAAGGAGTTTTTGCAGAACAGGTGTCAGGTGTGAAGTTTCTGGGTTGGAGATAGCAAGCTGGAGTGAGTGGAAGCTGGGACAAAGATCTTTGCCTGAGGGTATCTGGGAGCTGGAACAGCTGCGAGACACAGTGTTCACACGTCCTGGTGCCCATGCCCCAAAGCTTTCATTTATCTTGGCACCACAGGCACCTCATGCTGGTTTGAATCTTCTGTTACTGTATTTTTCTGCTAAGAATCTTGTCTGTAGGACTTTCTGTAGTAGCTCTGCCCCGGGTATAACTTTGGGTAATACCTCTCTGAGCTTCAGTTACTGAGGACAGAAAGGAACAAGATGATTGATTACCAGATTCCCTGCCAGTGACAAGATTCTGTGAATCTGAATGTGTTGACTCAGGATATAATAGAAGGTGACTTGTTTCAGAGCTTTTGAATTGGATTGAATTCATTTCAGTGTATGCCATGTCTCACTGCTGACTTACCCAAAAGTCTTTTCACATGAATTGTGAAGGTTGATTTCCCCATCCTGTACCATCTTGTATTTGTAGCACTTTTTTTTTAAACCTCAGTACAGTGTAGGTAGCAGTTTGTATTCATCCCTGTAACATTCATCTATAAGCTATAACCCATTTTTTTCAGTTTGTCAAGATATTGTTTTGGATGTTGAATCTACCACTTCACATGCATTGACTACTGTTTGAAACTTCGTGTCTTCTTTGAATCCAATGAGAAGGTCTTCAGTGTCCTCTCCTAAGACATTCCTAAAAGTACTGATCCATAAGGAAACACACATCCCATCACCACAGATCTGCCTCTAAACTACCATTTTCCCCAGTAATCAGCATTGGAGGGTTTAATTGATTGTGTGTAAATTCTCCCTGCCATCTGGTGAGCATTTCTTCCAAAGATGTCTTGAAGACCTTGGCAGGTGGAGCTCTCGGGTCTTGAAAGGCAGCCTTTAGTAGTTATGAGAGGAACAGAGAGATGTGCACATTTCTTTAGCTTTTTTTTTTGTTGTTGTTAACCAAATGTTGTTTGTGCCAAGCTCTGTGCTAGTTATGAGGCTAGATAAATGATCCAAAGCTTGGCCCAGTGGAGCTGTTAAATCTATTTAGAAGTAGACACAAAGCAACTGAACACATGCTTGATGCAGAGGAAAATTTTAATAGTTATGGGGGCACTGTGAGGGTTTAACTAAATAGCCTTAACTAAGTGGGGTGGGCCACACATCAGAAAATTTCAAGGCCTAGATGATGCATATTCAAAGGGAAACTGAAGGAGAACTGTGTTTCAGTTTCAAGAGCATAACAAACACCAAACCACAGAGGTGGGTTTGAGAGTGGTGATTGGGATTACTGAAACTTATCTCTATCACACTGGGCTTTGCCTGCAACAGGGACTGCACTAGCTTAGCTCTACTGCAGGTTTTTCTAAGCAGAACTGAGTGCCCTCTTGTGTTCTGTAGGGGAGGCACACGGTCCAAGGTCCTTTTACTTTCCGAGGATGGGCAGATCCTGGCAGAAGCAGATGGACTGAGCACAAACCACTGGGTAAAAGCCACACTGAGGGGACCAGAGGGCTTGGTTCTGATTTGATTCTCTAATTCCAATTGAGGTGGTGGCTGGGATTCATAGAGCAACTGATAGGGATGACATAGGTCCTGCAAGCCTTTGTAACTCCTCCTTCCCTTGATTGGGCCAGCTGATCGGGACAGAAAAATGTGTGGAGAGGATCAACGAGATGGTGAACAGGGCCAAACAGAAAGCAGGGGTGGATCCTCTGGTACCTCTGCGAAGCTTGGTGAGTCTGGGGTAGAGCCTTGGAATTAAGCCAACAGCAACACTAAGACAGGTAGCAAGTTTAGATTGGATGAACTTGATGACTATGGATGAGAAGGCCTCCAAGGTCTAGTCCCTGGGGTTGAAACTTGTGATCTTACCCATTCTCATGGTTTCAGCTGCCACCTTCAACTACAAGTATATTGGAAGAGTAGGATTGGGGAGAGCCATTGAGACCTTGGTTTGAATCCAGCTTTACCACTCAGTATCTATTTGACCCTTAAGAAGTGGGTCTTACTTTCCTCACTTGGAAAACATTGCTAGCAGTAGCTATCCCAGAGTTATTGGAAAAAGTACAGTGATACATCCCAAAAGGGTTAACACAGAATCTGACCCATATGCACTCATTAGGTGTAAGCTATTCTTACTCTCAGCTTAGATCCTCCCCCCAAGTTGATGCAGCTCTGTCTACTCCTTGTACACATAAGTGAAATGTTCTTTGGACACAGCCAAACCATCACCCCTTACCTTGTTTCTCTGCCTGATTTTTCTAAGAGCATTGTTGTCTAAGCTCTAAAAACATAGTATTGTTAAATTCCTCTTTCCTCTGTCCATCCCCAGTCTGGGCTGTTCTCAGAGCCAGGGCCTTCTGAGGGGCGGTGGTGTGGGATGGAGCGACTGAGGCTGGATGAGCAAGGTATAGCCAGACATAATAGAGAGCAGGAAGCAGGCATCAGGAGGGTTGGGATGAGAAAGGCACTGTGTCTGGAGCTCTGCTTGCTTGCTCACCTCCCACGTGGCCCAGGGCCTATCCTTGAGTGGTGGGGAGCAGGAGGATGCACTGAGGATGCTGACGGAGGAGCTGAGGGACCGATTTCCCTACCTGAGTGAAAACTACTTTATCACCACGGATGCTGCAGGCTCCATCGCTACAGCTACACCAGATGGTGAGGAGATGGATGGAGGGGTGAGGTTGAGAACTGGTTTTTGCTTGGGAAAGCCCCTTAGAGATAGCTGGCAAAACTAGTATTGCAGTATCTGGAAGGAAGTCTCTGAGTCACCCCTCTTTACCCAAATCCTATCATGATCAGCTTAAGACTCTGCCAAAGCAGACTTGGAAGATAGAAAAAAAGTGGGCAAGAAATGTAATCATGGTGGTAAGCAAATCAAACATAAGACTCCATTGCAAAGGAGGGAGCCCTTGGTGGAAGCCAGTGAGAAGCAGGCTGTGCATAGCCTAGAGCATAGAGAAGAAAGTTGGGGAGCTCTATGATTTTGTAGTGCTAGATCACAGGATTGGTATTTGCTAGCTCTACCATCCTGGAGAAGTCATGGAACTCTCTGATTTTCGATTTCCTTATCTATACAGTGGGGACAATTATATTTATAAGGTGCTGACTAAATATTACTATAAGAACATTGTCTAGCACAATCTGTGGCACATAGTAGGAACTCAGTAAAGCAGGTAGAGTCACCTGAAGACTGGCTTGGCAAGAAGCCACATTCCCTGAAGGAGATGTAGACCATGTTCCTCAGTCCCTAGAGACAGGCTCTATGATTGCAGTTTCTCCGAGGCCCAGGCCCTCCCCTTTAGGCAGGAAACCTACTGGGCTCAGTTTTCTCCCCTGTAGGACTGGGTGGTAACCCTTTTGCCTAGGATGTGTGTGGTTTCTGTCCTATCTTCTTCCACAGTCGGAAGCTGTTGCTCTGTACAGAGCCTTGGCCACTGAGCCTTCCCTGCCCCTTCCCCAGGTGGCATCGTGCTCATCTCTGGAACTGGCTCTAACTGCAGGCTCATCAACCCTGATGGCTCCGAGAGTGGCTGCGGCGGCTGGGGCCACATGATAGGAGACGAGGGCTCAGGTGAGCTCACACTGGGCCTGGACCCTTTCCTTCCTGCAGCTCCCCATCTTCTCCCCTGCTCTTGGCCTACTAATCCCTGGGGGTTTTCTGGGGACAGCCATTCCAAGTGCAGGGTAATGGCTGACAGATCATAGCTGGACTAACTGCTGACATTGCTCTTCACTAGTGATTTTGCTCCAGGGTTCAGATTCACATCTCAGCACAATGGCTGTAGCCTACCTGTGTTGACTTTTGGAGACCTTAGGGAAGAATTGAGATTATGAAAGATCATAGATGCCATATCAGTCCGCTTCTGGGAAAGAGACAGAAACTCCTCCCACCATGGCCTCTTTATGGGTAGCATGTGTACATTTTCATAGGGGCCCTTGGGGCCCAGCTCGAGTTGTGACTCTGGCACAATTGTGAGAACTGATTGACCCTGTCTTTGTGTAGGAGATGCTGTGATACAGATTCACCTATTCTGTCTTCCAGCTCCAACTTGCTTTTATCTGGGTCAGTCAGATACAGTTTCATTAAAAGCACCTCCTTCTCCCCGGCATCCCCACCCCCAGGAATCAGGAAATGTAATTTTCTATAAAACCCAAGCAGATCACTAACCCTGTCTGGGTCTGAGTTTCCTTCCTGGTGAGCTTCAAGAGATAGCCCATCTTCTTAGCCCTCTCTGCTCTCTGCAGCCTACTGGATTGCACACCAAGCAGTGAAAATAGTGTTTGACTCCATCGACAACCTAGAGGCGGCTCCTCATGATATTGGTTATGTCAAGCAGGCCATGTTCAACTATTTCCAGGTACTTCCCTGGCCCCAGTGGATGTGCACATCTGGGGTAGGGCAGAGGGGGACTCTAAGATACAGAGTTGCAGGAGAGGGATTGGGTGGGCCAAAGTGGGTCAGAGCTGCAAGGTGAAGTATAGGTAAGAACAGAATTTAGAATGCTGAAGACAGTGCATTCCAAAGGTAGCATGAGAAAGCTGTGGTTTGAGAACAAGTGGTTAGCCAGGCTTCATTCTTGAGCAGCTAAAACCCACTGAAACAGCTTTCTAGGCTAACATAAAAATTGCAAGTGAGGTCAGAAAGGAGAAATAGCAGGTAGAGTCTGAGCAAGGTCCTTGAATGCTGATCTGCTCTCTGGCCTTTATGGGTCAGGAAAGCCTATTAAAAAGGAAGCAGGAGAATTTCAGAGGGAGGCACAGCCACTTACCTAGCACACTGGGGACTGACTCCTCATCTGTGCTGTGCTCAGTTGTGGGTTGGGAGACACAACTGCCTTTAGTGGAGTCAGAGGTGAAAAGTGGGAGGATGTGGAAGGAAGAGAAGAAGGAAGATAAATTTATTTAATAGCTTGTCTATCTGCATGAGGGCCAGTCTGTCTTTTGGGGGTCACTTAGGCAAGCTGGACCTAAAGCTGAGGAAGGAGATTAGAGATATTAGAAGGTAGGGCATGTCTTCTTAAGGCTGAGGGATTGGTGATTAAAGAGTAACCCTATCCTGTGCCACAGTGAGGAATAGGGAGGAACCAGGAGAAAACACCTTAGCAGTTTAGTTGTCTCACCCAGTCAATTGTGTCTGCACTCCACCAGCATGCCTGCTGCTCCCTCTTACATTTTTCAGTCATTCTTATAAAGTTGTTACCAAGGTTTGCTGTGTGTCCTGGCACATGCCTGTAGGCATAAGAGGCTGAGGCAGGAGGATCATGAGTTCAAAGCCAGCCTCAGTAACTTATTGAGGCCCTGAGCAACTTAGCAAGATCCTCTTTCAAAAAAATAAAAAAGGGTTGGGGATGTGACTCAGTGGTTGTGGTAAAGTGCCCCTGGATTCAATCACCAGTACAAAAAAAAAGAAGAAAAGAAAAGGAAGTTGTTATTAAGGTTAAATGAGACTGTGTATAAAATATTTATATATGTAGGTACTCAAATTTTAGCACCGCTTCCCTCTACTAAAATGTGTCTGGGAAATCATTTGAGATGTTAAGGGTAGGCAAGTTTGTTGGGGAAGAAGGACCTTCTGTGATCACATAAGTTTGGGAGAAGCAGATGAATTTCTTGGTTGCAGTACCTCTTGGAGCCTTTGCTAATGTGTGTTGTAACTCTCCCAGGGACAGTTGCAATATATGGTATTACTTAGATTCCTTTGACCAAAGAAACCTTTCCAAGAGCACTTTAAGGAACTATAGAACATGCTGTGGTGATTACATATCTGTATTCTATACTGCCTGTAAGCTAATGGGTAACAATGAAGTCCATGCTGGGAAAACACTTTTCTCAAAATGAGAAATCTCACATCCTTATACTTTCTAGAGCTAAAACGTGCTCCCAGAATTATTCTAGCTCTTCAAATAGTATAAATTAGGAAGGGCAACTTAGGTGGGCAAATGGGATTTTCTTTACTTCTCATAGCTGTCTTGTGTTGTTTGTCTTTCAGGTGCCAGATCGGCTAGGAATCCTCACCCACCTGTACAGGGAGTTTGACAAAAGCAGGTTTGCTGGGTTTTGCCGGAAAATTGCCGAAGGTACTGAGGTGGGGTAGGGTTCTGTCGGGCTTTGTTTCCCTCAGACCTGCCTAATTAGGGGGTGAAGTTCATATGGGGGCTAGACACCAATTTCCCTCTCACCAAGTGACCTCACTGTTTTGCCACCTCTGTCCTTGGTGATGGCACTGGGTGTGCCTTGGGGTTGAGGCAGAAGGGCTAGATGATTGTACTGACTGTTGTTTTGTATTGTCAGTGTTTCTCCTTGACAGGTGTCAAGGCTAGGGCAAGCTATATGCCAGTTTCTGAGAAATTTGTGAAACAGTTTTCATTTAGACAAATCTATAACTTTTTTTTAACTGGTTACATTCAAAGAACCAGGGGATTAAGGAAACCTTGGGCATATTTTGTTGGGTGTCAGAAGCTCAAAATATGGCTTGCTTGTTTATATTTTGCTTTCTCCACTGTCACGTCCATACTCTGTTAATTTGGATTCCATAGCCTCGGGGTACTCTTGGGCTCTTTTAGAGCCTGCTAGACTGAGTTCCTTCTCCCCCAGTAACAAGGAAGGGGCTAATCAGCGGCAGACTGCTGGAAGCAGGTGGGAGGCACTGACCAGATGTCAGCCAGCTTCTTAGCTGAATTCCTGGGTCCCCAGAGCTGAGAGATTCATAGGGATAGACTCAAAATAACTCAGTGTAACCTGGTAATCTAGTGATAGGGTGCTTTGGGGCAGGGGGCTGTCCTTCCCAGTGCCTTCAGAGGTGCAGCGGGGAGGTGGAGAGTGCTGCCATGAGACTTGCTTGCCCCCGTGCCAGTGGTGAGGCATATGTCCTGATTCAGACTTCCGCCAGCTAGAGGTGCTGCCCTGTGATGGGGAGAGTAACTGGGACAAGCTGTCCCTGGGTGTTCACCAACCCCCTTTTCCCTTCTCCTATCCCAGGTGCCGAGCAGGGAGACCCCCTTTCCCGCTACATCTTCAGGAAGGCTGGGGAAATGCTGGGCAGACATATCGTAGCAGTGCTGCCCGAGATTGACCCGGTGAGTGGAGGTGCTGCTTCCCTTTTGGTGATGCAACTGCCCCATCAAACCCTGCACCAATTAGAAACTATTTTAGATGAAGTTATGAGGTGAGAAAAATTCTGCTTATAACATAAGAAAATCCTACGGTCTAGTGCTTCCCTCTGTAACTGGTGTGTTACTACCTGTATTTACGTGTAGTAAATGGGTTTAATGTCTGTCTGTCCCCTTTCTGTCCATTCCCCTTCCTTTTCTCTTTCCTGTTTCTGTAGTTGCTTGCCCCTTTTCTCTTCCCTCCCCTGCCTGCTCTTCTTGTTTCTCTTTCCTTGAGTTCACCTTATTCTGTTATTGACTAGAGGGAAAGTCTGGGATTTGGGGTTGGTCTTAGGAAACCACCTGGCAGCTCCAGAGATGCTTGTTCAGTCCACAGCATCCATTTTTGGCCCTCCACCCAGGTCTTGTTCCAAGGGAAGATTGGCCTCCCCATCCTGTGTGTGGGCTCTGTGTGGAAGAGCTGGGAGTTACTGAAGGAAGGTAAGTCTGGGGGCAAGGGGAGGGGAAGGGCAAAGGCAGAGAATGGGTCTGGAGTGGAAGTCCAAGAAAGCTTCCTGTTTTAGGAAAAACTGAGACCTGTGCCCTGAGGCCAAGACAGGCCACTGATGCCTCAGGTTAAGGCCCTCAGCCTTCACTTTGCCTCTGTCCCATCCGACTTCCCACGAACTAATATATAATTTATGCTGGGGATTAAACTTCGGGCCTCAGACTTGCTGTGTATGTGCTTTACCACTGAGCTGCAATCCCAGTTCCTTGAAGTCCTGAAAACGTGTCATATTCCAACGATTTATTAAATAACCTCTTTTTAAAAGTTAAAGTGAAAACTCAGAATCAGAGCTCCAGCATATGATTAACGGTGGTAACATCCCTAGTCAGCATAATCCTGGCCAGAAGAAACGTGACTTCTTTCCAGGCAGCCTCCTTTCAGGAAGTTGCTCAGCTCCCATTAGACATTCTGCAGGGCTTAACGGCCCCTATTGGAGTTCCCAGCATTGGAACTGAGAGGAGGGCAGGCCTTTGAGGCTGCTGGCTTCATGTGCCCTGGGATCCACTGTGTCCTGGGGACTTGGCCTGTTGGCCCCTTCAGCATCTTCACAGAAAGACCTTAGCATCTTTGTCCCCTTCCCCTCCTCCTGGTCTCTTCTCATTTCTGTCCTTGCATTCTTCCTTGCAGGTTTCCTTTTGGCGCTGACCCAGGGTAGAGAGATCCAGGCTCAGAACTCCTTCTCCAGCTTCACCCTGATGAAGCTGAGGCACTCCTCCGCCCTGGGTGGGGCCAGCCTAGGGGCCAGGCACATTGGGCACCTCCTCCCCATGGACTACAACGTCAATGCCATTGCCTTCTATTCCTACACCTTTTCCTAGGGGACTGGTCCTAGATCCTCCCATTCTAAGCCTAGTGGACATTGGGTGCTAGAAAGGAGGTCTTTTCTTTTTTAAAAACACATATAGAAGAAAATAAATGCACTCTGCCCATTCCCCAATTGGATTGTGTGTTCAAGCACCCTTGCTGTTATATCCTCAATGCACCACTAGCAGGTGTCCCAGAGGGCTTAGGAATGGTTTTGTCCGTAGTTGAAAGCCCCACCTCCAGGGACTTGGTCTGTGATCTGCATCCGATCACCATGTTCTTGGACAGATAATTTATCTGTGCCACCTCAAACACATCCCCCTTGCCTTACCATACACATTAACCTGTGACTTAAGTTTTCTCCTGTCAAAAGTAGGTAATGATTCCTGCCTGACCCCTATTGGAACTAAGTAGTCTTCCCCTGAATGAGATTTCTCAGTAGGATTTAGGGGACAATACAATTCTAGTTCAAAAAATTTTTTACCTCACTGGATTTGGTAGTTGTAAGTAAGCAGTGCATTTTTCAGTTTCTTGTGTGAATGAATTCTTGAGTTTATGAAGATTGCTGAGGTCCAAAAAGGCCAACTAGGGATAGCCTATCTGGATGGCCTACCTGCCTGTCCCTGACTGCTACTAGCCTGGCTCTGGTTATGGCATGACATTTTGTTTGTTGTGTGGCCCTGGGAATAATGAGCATCCGTGAAGAGCAGACGTGGTCCCTGTCCTCTGGATTCTGTAGTTGGACTAGTGAAGACAAACCTAAAGCTTCCTGTGCTGCTGCCTGTGCTACAGTCTTGATCCACAGTGGCTGCCTCTACAAGTGTCCAGAGTGTACACTATTAGAAGGCATCGATCATCTCCTGGACATGAGTTCTCAAACTTACATGCTTCAATTCTAGAGTTTATTTTAAAATCAGGTTTCAGTCTTTTTCCCTCCTCCTACCTACCCCCTACCTCAAGAGGTCTGACTCAATAGGTCAGAGATGAGTGGAGTGGGTGAGGAATTTTTTTTTTTTTTTTTTAATAGTCTCATTATGTTGCCCAGAGTGACCTCAACCAAGATCTCAAGCATTCCTCCTTCCTCAGCCTCTCAAGGAGCTGGTCATAGACCTCCATGCCCACCTAGGAATTTTCATTCCTACTCAATTGTCTTGGTGATTTTTGCCAGAGGTCCAGCATCTGTACTTGAAGGAGTTTGCCTTATTGCTTCTGAGTTCCAGTTACATTCTCAGGGGATCTTAGGTCTTACCTGTTTGTTTACAGTACATCATTCATGTGGAACAGAATGGCCGCAGCTCTCTTCCCTAGCCCAATGTAGCAAGCTGGTGCTTTGAGCAGTAAGAACTCAAGCCAAGTCCCTTCAAGGGACAGAGCACAACTTCACATCCAACTGTCACCCAATTCTTTGGGTCCAGCACTTGGCAAATCGCTAGTACCTCACCTTGTAAAAAGTCTGCAGAGAACAAGGATATAACAGAAGTACCTTTGCTATATCCCACAGTCCTAATAATAGTAATAGGGACTGAATCCAGAACCTCACATGTTAGGCTCACTGAGTTGTATCCACAGCCCTTTTTACTTTTTTTTTGGAGACAGGGTCTTGCTAAATTATTTAGGGCCTCATTAAATTGCTGAAGGCTAACCTTGAATTTGGAATTCTCCTGTCTCAGCCTCCTGAGTTGTTGAAATTACAGGCATGAGCCACCATGCCCAGTTTTTTTTTTTTTTTTGGTACCCAGGGACACTTTACCACTGGGCCACATCCCCAGCTCTTTTTTTGAGACAGGGTCTCAGTAAGTTTTTTAGGACATCAGTAAATTGCTGGGCCGGCCTCAAACTTGTGATCCTACTTCCTGAGTTTCTGGAATTACGGGCATGTGCCACTCACCTGGCTTGTTTTTTTTTTTGTTTTGTTTTGTTTTGTTTTAATGTGTTCTTAGGATTAGGTTCAAGCAGTGCTTTGGTAAAAAGTTTATAAATAATGAGACCTACTTATGTTCTTCAAATATGACCATCACTCTATTTGTGTAGACTCTATAATTCCAGTTGGACAGTGGAGGTTTTAGAAAAGAATAGCAGCATATCTTGACTTTCTTAGTCCAAGAACATGATTATTGAGTAAATGTTAGTTGAAAAAATGAAGCCAGATTCACTGGTGTCCATCTGTAATCCCAGAAATTCCTATTGAGAGGAGAATTGAAAATTGGAGACCAACCTCAGCAACTTAGCAAGACTGTCTCAAAGTGGAAAGGGCTGGGGATGAAGCCAGTGGTAGACTGCCCTGGATTCAATTCCCAGTACTATACAAAAACCAAGTGAAAATCTCTCCCATCCCCCAAGTACTGGGGATTGAACCAAGGGCCGCACACATGCCCAACAAGTGATCTACCACTGAACTATATCTCCAATCTCTCCACCCCATGACGATGAAGTACCTAAGGTCAGATATGCTCCTAGATTCTATCACATTTAGTAGATGTGATAAGGTTTCAAGCAGGGTGTGGTCACATACCTATAATCCCCTTGGGAGGCTGAGGCAGGAGGTCACAAGTTTGAGGCCAGCCTAGAAATTTATCAAGACTCAAAAAATAAAGAGCCGAGGATGTGGCTTAGTGGTATAGTATGTTTATCTAGTATGACAAACAACAAAACTAAACAAATGTGATGAGGTTGTTTATTCTCATTAGTAAGACACTATTACACTAGTTGTGGTGCAGGGGCTTATTTTTGTGTGAGAGTTTCCTCCCCTTTAAACATATGCTTCCAACAAGATACCAGGAGCAATTCATGGGATTTTGCACTACCAAGGCATCCAAGCCTATAACAGCCTCATGACAAGGCAAGAAAGCAATGAGCACTGGACTTAAATAAGGCTGGCACTGCCTTCATCTGTCTGATCTTAGCACAGCTCATCATCCAGACCAGTCAGCTAACACTGATGTCTTCCAGGTGTGATGAAGTGCTCTGAGTGCTAAAAATGACTAGGCCATTTTTTAGTTAGCAAAATTCAGAGCTGTACACGTAAAATATATCCACACTTTAGTACACTACACTTACAATTAAGTTTAGTGAAATTTAAAAAATATACCATCCACATCTTCAAGGATGTTACAATCTAATATATCAGCCCTATACTTATAACTTAGAAAAAGTTATAAATAGGCAGGTCAACTCAGATTTTTCTCCCTAGCTTTGGCAAGAAATCAGGGCTCAAAGCAAAACCCATGGGCCCATAATCTTTTTAGCACCTAAAATCCTTGAAAGAAAAAAGTACAAAACACCAATCCTCTCAATAGTCGTCCCCACTAACCCTGTAGCCCCAGTGCCTAAGATGAAGCTTTGAATGTAGTAGGCGCTCAAACTTGTTTAGTAGTTGAAAGACCGATAACAGAATCTTTTCACTTTTTTTAAGGTAGGAGTTAGCTTTGGCTCAAACAGAAGTCAACTCTCAAGTTTCCTTTCTAGCCCAAGAAGTCCCTTTCACCACCTCTGTTCAAAGTGTACTTACTGCCACTACTGGCTGAGATGTATTAAGAGCTTTCACTCACTTTTTTTTTTTCTTTTCTTGGTATCAGGGATTGAACCCAGGGGTGCTTAACCACTGAGACACATCCCCAGACCTTTTTGTATTTTGTTGGAAACAGGGTCTTTCTAAGTTGCTTAGGGTTTTGCTAAATTGCTGAGGCTGGCTTTGAATTTGTGGTCGTCCTGCCTCAGCCTCCCAAGCTCCTGGGATTATAGATGTGTGCATCCACACCCAACAATATTAAGAGCTTTCAATGTGCTAGTCAATATTATAAAATTCTAATTTTCAAAATAAGACTCGGGGTAGGTGTCATACCTTTACCAATAAACAAGTTCAGGCCTAAGGGCACTAAGAAAGTGGTGAAGGTGGGGGTTCACTCAGGTCTGATTCCAAGCCCATGCTTTTACTGTTTTGTAATCTCATTTGGAAGGAATATTATTCAATTTAAACTGATATGTCTTTAGACATTAAAAAAAAATAACTCACATACCACACACACATACCCCTACATTATGATGATACATAGTGAACCATCCCTAGGAAAAAAGTACCAAGGCCAGCAAATGCACTTTATTCTCATTTATTGAGATTTTCAACAGCTGCCATTTGGTTCGTATAGCAAACTTTAAAAAATGACTTCTATTTTTTATATTTTTATGAAAATTATTTTCTTCAATTTTAAAGCACTATTTCTCCTCCAAAGTAGTATTAACAACTGCCATGTAAAGTTTATTTAGAAGGGGGGTAAGCAACAATAGCTTTTAAACATTTATGAAACAGTGACAAAGTTCCAAAGTCTCAACGTGGACCAGCCGGGGATGCTATGCTGTCCCCAGTACCATCAATACTTTACTTGCCATCCATACCAACAGGGGTGCCACACACACACCCTCTGACCTTCTGGGGGCTTCTTGTTCCACAAGCTCCACTCTCTCTCCTCTCTACTTCTGCCGTCAGCCCTCCCTCTCTCCCTCCCTCCTAATGTGTCCAACAAAGGCAGTACAACTTTTAATACATGTTCAGCTTTGTAACTGGAGACATGCTACTTATTTAGGAAATTCAGATTCCCCCATTCATTCTGGAGGAGGAAAAACATCCAGCACAGCATAGATGGTTTCACTTTCTTCTCCACTGAGACACATGCTCATACTTATTAAATGGATTTATTAGATGCTTCAAAAGTCCCAATGTGTAGTAGACAGCACAAAAGTTTCTTGTAAAAAAAATGTTGCAAAATTATAAAAATTTCTGCAGCACTTGAGGCTCCTTCTGTGGAGCTTCTAGTGACAAAGCTGGTTCTGAAAAGTAATTCCTTTGACACGCACAGTAGCTTCACCTATGAGTCCTATATATCTATGTTCAAAGAGTTCCATTTAGACCACAGGAATCTGAAATCCAAGTTCGTCAGGCTGTCTGGCTAACAAAATGTACATACCCATCAATGGGATACTACTCAGTAGTAAAAAGAACAAACCACCAAAACATGTTCTATGTAGTGGATGAGCCTCACAAACATTATGTTAAGTGAAAAAAGGCCTGATACCAGAGACCACGTGCAGGACTCCATTGATGTGAAATGTCAAGAAAAGGCAAATTTATACATGAAAGTGGTTGCCTGGAGTAGGAACAGGGACTAATGAACATGAAGATCTTATTGGGAGTGATGAAAATGTTCCAGAACCAAGTAATGGTTACGGCTGCACCAATGAGGAAAGTTACTAAAACCACTGACTTGTACAACATTTGAAATGGGTGAATTTTATGATATGTAAAATATGCATCATTAAAGTTGTTTTTTAAAAAAAGACTCCCTACCTCCCAACTGCCCTTCAAGCATTAAACAATTCTGAAAAGCTCACAATCAAAAGAACAGGATTATCACTTAGTATTGATTTACACAGTAAAACATTTTACTATTTTATAGAAAAAAATATTTTAGTAATTGTAAAATAGTAAAATGTTTTTAAATTTTATTATCTCAGGGCTGGGGGATGTAGCTCAATAGAATGTGTTTGCCCAACAATGAGGAAGGCCCTGAATTTGAGCCCTAGCAATACAAAACAGAAAAAAATTTTCAATTTTCTGTAGAAATAAATAACCTAAAACATTTATTATTTTGGAAAAAAAAAAAAGGTAGCCAGTGAGAAGGTAGATTTGAGGAAGTAAGCTCAGCAAATTTTGCAAATGAGACTTAAAAACAAAAGCAGCCTTTTAAAAATAATCCCCCCCCCCCCCCCACAAATAAAGATAGTGTCTCTGTGTTCTTTTAGATTTCTCTCACGTCCCTTGGAAGCAGGAAGTACAAATCTCTTGGCTAACACCCTACAGAGATCAGTATATCCAGCTGTCTTTTTCTCATAACTTCCCTAAAAATGAAACTGACTGGGAACAGCAATGGAGGTTTAGAAAGTGAGAGCAGAAGGCCAAGTAATATGCAAGACACTTGAGTATTTCCTTGGGTAGATTTCCTGCTCCCCTGTCCCTGTCACCAGTAGCATGTTCAGTATGGGAGATTAAAACAAGGAGAAAGAAACTCTAAAACCTCTCTTTCCAAACTGTGACCAAGTCTGTGGATGAAATTCACAAGACAGAAAATCAAGGTCAATCCTGTTCTCTCGGCCCATTTGCCAGTATCCTAGAGGAGATGCACAGTCTTTATAAATGGGTGAATATCTCCAAATCTTGATCAAATTTTTCAGATCTCTACTGGTTCTCATACCTCAGTTATCACCTAAACCAAGAGATCAAGGGAGCCTGTAATGCTGAGATGCTCACTGAAAAAGGGCTGCCTCTTCCAGCCACCGGAGGGTGGATGCAGGAATGCTGTTTCTGTGGACTACTACTTCTCTCAAACTTTGCTTTCTAACCTGTTAATTACCAGCATATTCATGTGACCTCACTATGGCTCAGCCTCTCTTAAATCAAGATAAAACTTTTCGACATTATAGCAAAAAACCAATTTGGAAAATGCTTAGTATTTCACTAAAACATTTATTGTAAGCTACTGTTAGCAGGGTAAATTTAAAAACATCCCAACTGTTTTGACTTTGCAAATTAAAGGTGCTACAAAAATCCATCCTTATCTTTATGATCTTTCCAGGTCTGTCCTTATATGATTCCCAAAAGTAAACTAATGTACACAGAAACTGGCCCGAGGCTCAGAACTGCATGTACCCAGGCCTAGGCTATATCCTTGAATTTTCTGTTGCAGTTCAAATATCTTGAGAAACTCAAAAGATGTTCCTTTATTGTTTTTTTCCCATGAAGAAAAAGAGGAATTATCTCCTTGTAGTTTTAGAGTCAAATAAATAATCACAGTAATCTAATAAATTAACACTGGGACCAGCCAGATTGGCAACTGTTAAAAATACTCCATTTCTATAAACTGTCAAACTTCTAGTTGCCAATTTTAAAAGTAAGAAGACAACAGTGGTTTAAATTCAACATCAAAACTATCACTCATAAACACAAGCTTTGCCTTGCTTGCACTCAGACCTCTCCTGGGGGAAAAATCTGAGATGGAGACTCTCAGCACTTCCCCAGGGAAGGGTCTACCAGACCCACATGAATTTTCTGCTAAGAAGTTGGCAAATTAGGGCTGAGCCTGTGGCCCAGGGGATAATCCCTTCCTACAACCCCAACACATTTGAGAACATGAAATAGATGATAAAAAGAGTTGGGCCACAGGAAGAACCAGTGGAAGCACAAGTCCTACATATTAAATAAGGGATCACCTTGCCTGCTGCTTCCTGATCTGGAGGGCAGCACATTCTGCATCTGAGGGGGACTGAAAAATCCTGCCCTTAGGTTCCAGACTCATCTGGTTGAGTTTCCTTAGTCCGGACCCAATATACCTTGTGACACTGTGCTGAAGACAGACATCCAAAACAGCCAGCACAGCAGAAGAAAAATGAGCCTCTTAGACCATGCCTAGTAGTTCAGTCTACCTGACATCAAAAGAACAAACCTTCAGGATGAAAAAATGGTTACTCTGGATCCCTACAGAGCTTTCCTGATGGGTAGACAAAGGAGAGTCCATTGTCCTCTTTGCCAACACATTCCAACAGCCTTCAGCATTTTTGAGCTTAGATGGGCTAATGGAGACTAGAACAGGCACAGTAGCCCCAGGAGAGAGATTTCCCCTATTTATGTACTTCCAATGCCTTCTCTTTATTAGAGGCAACATCCTGGCTGAAAACTAAGCTGGAATAAACAAGGTTTTTTATTCAGAGTCTTCCCTAAAAGAAAATTAACAATTTCATTCTCTTGAGGTAGAAGCTTTGGGAATATGCATGTTTGGCAATACATGTTCCCAAAGCTACTCATAGTCCTATGACATGTGACCTAGTGAGAAAGACCATTTTTCAAATGATTCCACCCTATAAACTTAAATGAGGAAAGATATGAGTTTGTATTTTAAATCTGGCATTAGTGTAAACCCAACAATTCAGGAGGCTGAGGAAAGAGGATTCCAAGTTCAAGGCCAGCCTCAGCAAATAAAGAAACCCTGTCTCAAAATAAAAAATAAAAGACTGGGGATGGTAGCCCAGTGGTAGAGCACCACTGGGTTCAAATCTTTAGTACTGGAGAAAAAACCCTATCATTAGCCTGTGGCTCTTCAAAAAATCAACAAGGGAAGCTGGGATATAGCACAGTGGCAAAGTGCCAGCCCAGCATGCATAAAACCCTAGATTTGATCCCTGGCACCCTCCCTGCCCCCCCCCCCCCAAAAAAAAGTCAACAAGTGAGCTCATAAGAAAATGGAGAATTTCTTCAGCTTTCCAGACCTAGTCCTTTTCTTCCAAACTCTGTCCCACATCCACATACTGAATCTCTACCAACTTTATTTCAAGTTATGTGATCTTGCCCTTATAGGCCTATCACACAGCAAGCAACAGTTATACAAAAGCCACTGCATCCTCAGATCTCCGCCAGTACTCATCCTGGGAGAAGAGCCAGCACTAGACATACTCTTTCACACATACTACTACCTCCTACGTTCTCTGTACACAAAAAGCAGCTCCTGGTGCCCAGTTTAGTCCTTAGATGTATCAACAAAAACCTTCAGTGAGTTGTAGGTAGGAAAGACAATAGGAGCATACCCAGAAAGGTCAACCTAGAAAACTCAAAAGATTTGGTGTATGGGAACAGTAAAATGTGAAACAGCTTTAACTATCCTGGAGGGTTGTGGACACAGTCATATGGGTCTAGCAGGACTCCGAGGTCATTTTTCAATTCCTCTGCATACTTTTATAAGGTAGGAGAAGCATCCAATCTGTGAGCTGAGCTTCTTACTCATGTCCTGAAAAATATACTTCCTTGAAAAGGTGCATAAACTTTTCTGAGGGAATTAAGATACTAGGAGAACCATGTTGATGGGACTGGAGAAAAAATTAAAAACTGTCTGAATAAATTTTAAGACACAAACAACCCAAGATGCTACAGTAAACAAAAACCAGGATTTAAGGTTGAGTCTCCAAGCTCGAGCTAATGGCCAAAACAGAAGGCTTCTCACATGTTTTGGTAACATAACTTTTCCTAAACACAAAGTAGGGCTGGGGTGGAAAGCAGATATGGGCAGAGACAGCTGAGGGCTGAGGTGGCAAATCAGCCCTAAGTGCCCTTTCACCTGTAAATGATGAGACTGATGGTAGCTGTAAACAAAGGCTTAAGAAGAGGACAACAGCAACCACAGGACTCTAGTGACAATCGCCATCATAGTCCACTCCTTCTATGTACAACTTTCATCAGAATGAAGAGTTACTGTAAACTAAGAACTTTAAGTCTGTTTTTTCTTGAATGGGGTTCAGAGCAGAAAGACATGGCTCCACAGGCCATTGGTACTCCCAGTTCACTGCAGAAACACCAGGGAACAGGAGAGCTGGGCTCCAGATTCTGGTTTGCACCATGTGTCTCCTCTGCTTGTCCCTCTTCCCATCCAGCAAGACAGCACAACAGTCTTTGCAAGTAGCTCTGTGGGTATTTCTTGCTCCTGGTAGGTACACAGCAGGATGAGAAGGGTATTTCTTAAAAACCCAATATTCCTTGGTCAGCTTATTTTGTTTAAACACAGACAGTAGAACATTCCTGATAAAGGAAAAAATAAAATGCGATTTCCTTAATTCAAAAAGAGCTAATTAACAACAAAACAGGAAACTGCTCCAAAGTCAGTAGAACCAAAAGGAAATACTCAGAGGCTTGTAGAGTCACAGTATCCAGTTAAACCGAGGTTCCCCTTCCCGGCTATACTCCCCTTGCCCACCCCACCCGCCTCTAGACAGCTCTGCCTTTTTGTGCATCACTATCCCCAAATGTGGGGACAGGCAAGTCCTCCTCAAAGGTTCTGTTGGCTCAGTACTTCACTCCTGGAATAAACTCCTTGGCATCCGGGTTCAGGTTACTTTTGCTCTGAAATAAGAACAAGAGATAATAAATCCTAAGGCAAGCTGTACTTTAAAACTTATTTTCTTCCTACTTAATTTTTTTTGGTACTAGGTATTGAACTCAGGGCCTCATTCATGCTAAGAAGTGTTCTACCACAAAGATACACCCTCAGCCCCTCCACTTCCACTAATACCATTACCTTCCCCTTAGCCTTTAGGACAGAAAGAAAGAAAATTCCTTGTAACTCTGTTGTTGCTTGGCTGCTCTCAATGGCTCCTAACATATTTAGCCCATACTTAGCTAATTTTCTCCTTCCTGTTTGAGATTCTGTTCCCTTCCTGATGCTTCTCACAATCTCATCAGAGGCCTTTCAGTTCAACTCCAAAAAGAATTTTCATTTCACAAGTATCTCAACTTCATGAAAATCAGAACTCCATGAAACTGGTCTTGGTTACCATAATTTCCACTTTTCTTCATTTTTATTTCTTTGGTTATAAATATATTCACACCTCTGTTGTGAATACCCCAAAACTCAGCAAACTTCAGGGCATAATCATTTGAGATACAAGTTGGGTGAAAAACATAATGCATACAGAATTCTGATGTTACATAAACATGGAAGGCAAGAAATTTATTTATCTGGTCTAATTATAAGTGGCAAATGACCTCTCAGGAGTATATTTCCTTCTAAAATGAACAGGCAATTTTTATGATACAAACATTCAGAACTTAGGTTTATTAAATACAGACTTGGGCGACAGTAAAGAGGAAGATAGCAGCAAGTGATCATTTCAGAGCCTGTTTGGAGGTTCTATCAGGGGAGTACAGCTACTCTAAACTCTTGACCAGAGAATGGGCTTCCTCTACTGGGGAAGATCATCCTCAATTTGCAGCTTCAGGCAAGACACACCGAGTAGTGAAGGAGGAAGGGACACCATCTAGCCAGATCAGCAGAAACAACCCTGGTGATAAATGGGGTGACATGTCACAGCCAGATGGCCCTCAACAGATCATGTGAAACCAAACCTGATCTTGAGTATTCAAATTTAATCCTTCGTCTGAATAGTTTTATGAAAAGCCCACTGGCAGGCAGGCATCATGTCTTCACTGCACCCTCTCATCAATGCCCATCTAAGTGGTGAAGAAACAGCAGCTTAGAGGGCTCCAGAAACTTGCAAAAGATTGAGGGCCAGAAAAACAGTCTTTGACTCCAAATTCTACATTCTTTTTACCCTGTCTTATGTGGAAATACACATGGTTCTTACCAAAATATCTTCAGAATTATGGTCATCCCCGACGGACAGTCCATTTAACTGCTGCTGCAACTGTCCCATGGCCTGCGGCAGGTCTCGTGCTGGAATAAACCAGTCTTGGTCTTCCTCATCCAGCATCTCCTGGAAGCAGCGGTCCAAGAAGTCTTGCTCCTGAAGCTCCTCCTCCACCTGGCATGCAAAGGGAGCACCTCAGATATCCTATCCAGGGGACGCATCCCTACCAGGAAGCCCCCAATCCTTCCCTTCAGAGGTTATTGCTCTGAAGCTAAGATGAATTTGTATGAGATTTAAGAATTAAGATGCTTGTTATGATTGGTTAGGAAAAACACGATTTTTAATTTTTAGCTGAATTTCATCAACAATAAAACAGAGAAATAGTTATTAAAAATTTTAGGTCTTTGGGCTGGGGATATAGCTCAGTTGGTAGAGTTGCTTTTCTTGCATGCACAAGGCCCTGGGTTCAATCTCCAGCACCACAAAAATAAATAAATAAAATAAAAATATTGTGTCTACTACCTACAACCAAAAAAGATATTTAAAAAAAAATTTTCAGGTCTTCACATTTCTTGTAAGACCTACAATATGTACCAGATATTTTCCATTTCTATGGCCTTGTGGAAAATCATTTTACAGCTTAAAATTCTTTTCTCAGTCTTGTTAAGAAAGAAATTCTTAAATTTCCCATTTTATAGGAAATATGTAACAAGATACAGAAAGTATGTAATTACTGTACTACTTGGATAGTGGAGATTAAATCAAAACTAATTCTTAGCTCCTGGACCACTTTTCTAGTAATGAGACCCCCAAGGCAGAAAAGTAATTTCAGAACCTTAGAAAGACACAAAAGATACTTTGTGGCTGGGTGCAGTGGTGTTTACCTGTAATCCCAGCAACTCAGGAGGCTGAGGCAGGAGGATTGCAAGTTCAAAGCCAGCCTCAGCAAAGGCGAGGCACAAAGCAACTCAGTGAGACCCTGTCTCTAAATAAAATACTAAATAGGGCTGGGGGTGTGGCTCAGTGGCCTAGTGCCCCTGGGTTCAATCCCTGGTACCCCCATTCAAAAAAAAAAAAAAAAGATACTTTATGGCATATCACTAGAAAACCAACCATGTCATCAATATAGTATTCTCTCAAAGCAAGAAGAAATGTATGAATATTTAAACAACTCCATATTTCTTAAACTCTGCCCCAAACTAAAGCAATAAATACATCTAGAATATTTTACACTTCTTTGCAAACATTGTTACTCATAGTAAGCTCTGCAGATTTTCCTGTGACTTTAACAGGCTTCCTGCCTCATGTTTGGCAAATTCCTTGCCTGCATCCTGATGACAAACTCACAGCTCATTAGCGCCACCACTAGAATGAACATCAAGCAAAAAATGATTTTTCAAATTAGCCTATACAATTCACAAGTCACTGGTGGTAAGATTTAAGGAAAGGAATTTTAACTTTGTAATTAGTCACATTTTAAAAAAATGTCAAATGAATTACATAGTTATGAAGTTATTAAAATAATCACAACAAAATATTTCCAAGCCACAAGATTTAACATGACTTTGTGTTTGAAATTTCCTGAAATTTTCTTGCTCCATTCTTTTATATATTCCCTTTCTGAAGCATTTTACTTCATATATTTCTCTTTGGGGGGCTTACTATGTAAAACTATTTCCTGAATTGTAGCAGTAAGCTGTTTTCTTTGTATAAAAGTTGGGAAATTAGGGCTGGGGTTGTAGCATTGCCTAGCACATGTGAGGCACTGGGTTCGATCCTCAGCACTACATAAAAATAAATAAATAAAATAAAGGCACTGTGTCCATCTACTTACAAAAAAAAAAAAGAAGGAAGGAAGGAAGGAAAGAAAAAAAAGTCACCTTAATTTCAACACTCAGACCTGAATGGAGATTAATGACATTTTGGAATGTACCTAGCCTACTCTTACTAGACACCATGGGAAAACGGCAGGAGCTTAGAATAAAAAGTCCCCTGGTAATTAGAAATGTACATACAAAAGAATCATAAGATTTAAAAATTCAATAAGCATTCTTCATCTCTTTCCACAGTGTAGACAGGGAGTAAAAGCACATTTTATACACTACATATAACTGTTTTTTTGCCTCCCCCCAACCCTTAACAATAGGCGTCTTTTCTTCTTAAAAATTCCATGGAAGCCAGGCAGAGGAGGGTATAAACAAACCATTTACAATAAACTGGTATGTTTAATCTTACTTCTTCCCTTCTTTTCTCAGTTATACTTTCTGAAGATGACTGATACTATTTTTATTGGAACTTAATTCTTTCTCCCCTCAAAGCTACATTTCAAATTCTTTCAGCATCAAATTCAATGAGTTATCAAAAGATCAATGTCTCATTCCTAGTTTTGGGGGCTTGTATGGTGTTTTGCATACAATGAATCTTGAATTGAACCTCAAGTGAGAAGACATTGGATTCTATAGCTGGTAACCCAGATATAATATCTTCTAGCACATGTGAGGCACTTTCCAATAAGAAATCTGAGAAAATAGAATAAGATAAATACAACTTGATTGTGGTAAAAACTGTATAGTTCAACATGGTCAAAGTGACCTACAGGGGTATAAGCAGAAATTACATCAATCAGATCTGAGATCCTAAATCTTCCTGCTCTTGAGGAATTACAAAGTTTCTCTGAAATACTCAATCCCCTGGCTTGACATCGCATACCAATTGGAAAATAATGTTACAAAACTAGTATTTCCTGTAAAATATTAGGGTTGGGAGAATTCAAGCAAACAATCGTTTACCTGCTTAGCCTTTCTAAGGGCCTGGCAGGATATAACTGTCACTGCTTTCCTAGTTCTGAAACAAGTTATAATTTTTAAAGTTTCTAAACTATCTTTCCTCAACCTCTTTGGGTGTGTGTGTGTGCATGTTTCTGTAAGCTGCTAGGTTTCCAGTACTTTTCCAAGTACCCTGCCTCAGTTTGCTATATTCTTAGATACAGAAGCCCACATCTGGCCTACAGTGTAAACATCTGGCTCTTAAGTCCCAGTCCTAATCAGCAGGGTTAAGAGCATGTCAACAAGTATTATCAAAGCCAGGACAAATTGTTTATGCTTTCAGCAAACTTTTTTCCAGTCAGAGGCTAGTTAAAGGCAGAGTCATACAGGTCAACACAAAAGCTAAATGCAACTATTCTAAAATCCCATAGAAAATATATTTATTTTCGCTTAGAGTTCTTAAACATCTATTATGTCTACATTTATTTTCAAAATGAAGCACAGTTTCACATTTCCAATAAGAAAATAAAATCAATGAACTTCAAAGTCCAGAAAAGCAAGCTCATTACCATTCTATTTCTTATTGTTCCATAGTATAAGCACTTAATTTCATACTGTCTTTATAGAGTTACAGAATCAGAGTGGTTCCTAGGATTAAAACAGGATCAGGGCAGGATAAAAGACCTTAGCTAGCTGGGTGGGGTAGTACAAGCTTGCCATCCCAGGTACTCAGTAATTCCATCTGCTTGGGGAGGCTGAGGCAGAGGATCACAAATTCAAGGCCAGCCAGGGCAACTTAAGGAGACCCTGTCTCAAAAACAAACAAATATGCTGGGAATGGCTCAGTAGTAAAGCATTCATGGGTTCAATCCTCCATAAAGGTGTGCAAGGGAACCAGTGACACCTTCCCCTTTTTTGGTGGTACTGCGTATTTGACCCAGGGGTGCTCTCTACCGAGCTGTATCCCCTGCCTTTTCCCCGCTTGAGACAGGATCTTGCTACGTTGATGAGGCTGGTCTCAAACTTTCAATCTTAGTGCCTCAGCCACCTTGAGTCATTGGGATTATGTGTGCTCCTCCACACCCAGCCATTTTTATTTTTACAGAAAATATTACAGCTATTGAGTTACATGTATCATTAGCTTCTACTTCTTTCTTTACCTGTCTGTTGAAGTCCTCTTCATTCTCCATCCACATATATTCTGCAAATGGGTTTTCTTTTTCATCATGCCCATTTAGTCCCTGGTCCTCTTTGGATTTTACACTGGGTGGTGTATTTGCCACACTTGATCCATTCATTATGACAGACTCTATAGGAGCAAAAGAAAGGATAAAATGAATACAAGGATCAAGAAAATGTAAACCCACAACATCTAAGTTCTTTTAGAAGTTTCTGAAGTTCTGAGCCAAAGACTTAAATGAACAGAGACTGTTAAGACTATAACTGTGGGGCTGGAGTTGTGGCTCAATGGTAGAGCACTTGCCTGGCATGTGTGAGGCCCTGGATTTGATTCTCAGCACCGCATATAAATAAATAAAACAGCACCACATATAAATAAATAAAAGAGCCATTTAATACAGATGCACAATTCTTAAAGAGTTAAGAGAAAAAAGGGTCTAGGCTTATTTTTTTTCCCCCTAGGCAAGAGACATAGGATAGGGTGGGGGTAAGGAATCTTCCCATGTCAAATTCCTGAAGGTCCTAGAACCTAGTCCAGATCACTTCCTTAATGATTAAACAGGAAGAGAGAATGTATTCTTTTTCTATTTCTTAATTCTTTTTGTAGTCCTGGGGATTGATCCCAGGGCTTCACACATACTAGGCAAGTGTGCTACTACTGACTTACATCCCCAGCCCGAGTATGCATTCTTAATGAATACTGTAAGCACCTGCTCCTTATTCTGATTCTCAAACTTTGTGTTTCTTTAAAATGTATTTCAAAACAATAATACGTGTTCATTGTATGATAAGCAAAAAGTAGAAAATAAATCACCAGTTGTCCAACCATCTAAAGTTAATAATAATTAACAATGTGATGGTGCACGGAAACTTCCTGACACCCCTGGCATGTATGTAGATACAGACATACACATGTTCCCCAAGTTTCCATTCTCAGCAGTAACAGGATCATGATGCATTAAGCCCCACCATTTTTTTCTCATTTGTGTTAATATAGCCATAATGTCTTTTGGAGTATGTCCAATGTTTCTGTATTGTAAAGTTTGGATGAATTTCTGGTATTTATTTTTTTCTGATGATTTCTTTATAACTGCTACATTGGAGAGTATGTTCCTTTGTTTAAGTATCTTGATTTATTGCCACCCTCCCAAAAGAATTTAAATCCCCCCAGTAGTGTGTAAGTGCCTGTTTTTCCACATTCATGAATACTATTATTTTAAAACCATTCCTAGTCTCATAAGAGAAAACCTGCATTTTATTGTTTATGCTTCTTTAATTTTTACTGAGGCTAAGTATTTTGAAATGTTTACTGGCCATTTTTCTATTAAGATTTGTGGATTTTCCTTATCTTTGGTAAGAACACTTATTAGTTTAAATTTTTTTTAATTAAAAAATAATTTATAAAAACAAGTAAAATAATTACTACACTTGTTTATTACTATTATTTTTTGCAGTACTGGGGATTGAACCCAGTGGCTCTCTACCACTAAATTACACCCCAGCCATTGATTGATTGATTGATTGATTGTGGTGCTGGGAATTGAACCGAAGGCCTTGCATGTTAGGCAAGAACTCTACCACTGAGCTACAGCCCCAACTCTTATTTTTTATAAACAGTCTCCCTAAGATGGTGAGGCTGGCCTAAAACTTGAAATCCTCCTACATCAACTTCCCAGGTTGCTAGAACCACAGACATGCAACACCGTGCCTAGCTATATTTGCTCCATTATTTTTGGTGGCCATATTTGCTAGCCTTCATCTTTGCTTACAGCTTGTGTGTGTATGTCAGTCTACGACTCTTAAAGGTCCATATGTATGGAAAAAAAGACTTTGCTTTGGCTTGTAATCCATTTTGGTGTTTTGTTATCACTGAGAATGTGTCTTTTTTCTACTCTTTATCTTAATATTAACCATTCTTCATAAAACATTCCAGTCTTCACTCATTTTTCTTCTCTAACCTACTGTACCTAGGGAGTACCATGTTAAAATTCTTTCAGTTTTTTTCTGTTTCATGTGCATAACCTTTCTTGTTCCAACTAGATCTCAATTCCTGAAAAACAAGACTTGAGGTGCATACAATTTGTAACTTATCACAACATTAAAGACTCCATAAATACTTGTGGCTTAATTGTGCTTTGGCAACTTTCTCTCTCTATCCCATCTTGCTTTCACCAAATTCCTTAGGGCTTCTTTAAGAGTTTCTTAACAAATTATTTCCCTCTTGTCTCCATCTTGGCAACACACCTAAAAGCCTTTCTTTGCATCTGAGTATACTAAAAATTTCTTACTTAATCTTCTTTAGTTTCTGCAAGTTCCTAAACTGTTATGAACATTAGAAATCTACTCTTGTAGTTGGACGTGGTGGCATACACCTGTTAATCCCAGCAACTTGGAAAGTTGAGGCAACAGGATTGCCAAATTCAAGGCCAGCCTGGGCAACTTAGCAAGATTCTGCCCTCAGAATAAAAAGTAAAAAGGGCTGGAATGTAGCTCAGTGGTAGACTGCCCCTGGGTTCAGTTCCTAGTACCACTAAAAAAAAAGAAAAACAAATAAAGCCCTAATCTTGTAATAAGGCAAGTAGAACTGTGAACTGTAATGAATAGATGGAAAAACAACTCACTGATAGTTCTAAAAGAATTCCATTTAAAGCAGAACCCATTATTTTACTATAGGTTTAAAGAGGGGACCTGGTAAGAAAAATATCTGTTTAACATATTTTATTTATTTATTTATTTAAAACAGAAACCACTCAGACTGCATTCCCTCCCTCTTGTTCTCCAGAAAGGAGAGAAGAATGATCATCAATGGCAATAGGCAGCTGCAGCAAAGCAAAACCAAAAGCCAGCTTCACGCTCAGAAGGGAACACTACGCCTCCTCCTCAAGACATATTTTAGATAGTTAGAGACAAAATAAGACAATGTTTATTTCAATACAGGATCTTAAAAACAATTCTACAGGGCTAAAGGAGGAATCCAGTTCTTTATTTTTACTACTTCCATTTGCAGCATAGCAATGACAGAAGCAAGTCAGCTTTAAATGCCAGAGCAACTGCATAAGTAAGTGTGATCTTCCTAAACAGAGACTCTTACAGGTTCTCTACTTTTCTGGGTAGCAGGTTATCCTGTATTGTATTTCCAAAGATTTATTTGGCTGTTGTTTACAATCAGCATTTCTCCCCATCCATGTGGAAATTGTCCACAGAGAATCAGAGTTCAGTTTTCTAAAACATCTGCCTTTATAAAAATAAATAAATACTAAGTGCATATGATCATAAGGAAAAAGGGAAGGCAGAAAAAGAACAGAATACCCCTTCTGATTTAAGAGCAAGGTAGAACACAGAGCAAATTACACACTGCACTTGTTCATGAGAAAGGCCATGGTAATTACCATAAACTCAACATGAGGGTGTTACTTGTGATTTTATAATGTATGTGTATTTGGGGTTTCATCCATAGTTCCATAATTTCATCCATCTATCTATCCATTTACTCAGTGCAGTGCCTCATGTATGCTAGGCAAGCACTGAGCTACATTTCCAGTCCTAGATAGTTATAAAAGGTACTTTAGGCTTCAGAAACCAGAATCCCTGTCTCTCTTTAACCTCGTGTCCTCCTTTCACCTGATCCTTTTTGTCCCCAAGGCATACCACAGATACCAGAACTTCTCTTCCTCAAGCCAGGTCATAGAAATTAAAAATATAGCTGGGCTCAGTGGTGCACACCTGTAATCCCAGCCACTTGGGAGGCTGAGGCAGGACGACTGCAAGTTCAAGGCCAGCCTTGGCAATTTAGTGAGACTCTGTAGCAAAATAAAAAGGGGTGGGGATATAGCCCAGTGGTAGAGAATCTCTGGGTTCAAGCCCAGTACAGCAGAAAAAAGAAACTAAACTTATACTCTAATCTTCCCCCTACCTTTCTCTCTCTCAGCTAGTCATAAGGAAATTCTCTTACACATCTTGTCTGACACTAGATCATAAGCCCCCTTTTTAAAAAAGGGTCCTGTCCCATAGCTTGGAGCAAGGAAATTTGCAGAGAGGCCAAGAAGAATCTTGGACAGACAGGATTTGCTGGTTTTCCCCACTCATTTATTAGCATTAGATCATACCTTTTTTGTCTAATTACATTGTTACACAGTTGTCTATGTTTCAATCATGTTTATGCAATGAAGCCTTCATTTAAAAAAATAAAAAAGGGTTCTGAAAGCTTCTGGACAGCTGAACGTGTGGAGGCTGACAGGAAGGTAAAAAAACCCGACTCATCCACATCCTAGCAAGATGGTGAAGCCAATTTCTGGGGATGGACACTCCTGGGCTCAGGATCCTTCCAAATCTCACCCTATATCTCTCTTCATCTGGCTATTTATTTGTATATCTTGTATAATAAACTAGTAAACATAAATGTTTCCCTGAGTTCTGTGAACTGCTCTAACAAATTAACTGTACCTAAGGATGGGGTTGTGGAAATCTCAATTAGAAGCCAGCTGGTCAGAGGTTCTGGAGGTCTGGATTTTTTTAAATTAATTTTTTAAAATTTATATATAACAGCGAAATGTATACAATTCTTATTACATATATAGCACATTTTTTCATATCTCTAGTTGTATACAAAGTATATTCATACCAGTTCATGTCTTCATACCTGTACTTTGGATAATAATGATCATCACATCCCACCATCATTAATAACTCCATGCCCCCTCCCTTCCCCTCCAACCCCACTGCCCTATCTAGAGTTCGTCTGTTCCTCCCATGCTCCCTCTCCCCACCCCACTATGAATCAGCCTCCTTACATCAAAGAAAACATTCAGCATTTGGGTTTTGGGGATTGGCTAACTTCATTTAGCATTATCTTTTCTAACTCCATCCATTTACCTGCAAATGCCATGATTTTATTCTTTTATTGCTGAGTAATATTCCATTGTGTATATATGCTACATTTTTTTAATCCACTCATCTACTGAGGGGCATCTAGGTTGGTCCCACAGTTTAGCTATTGTGAATTGTTCCGCTATAAACATTGTGTTCCTGTAGTATGCTGCTTTTAAGTCCTTTGGGTATAGACAGATGTAGGAGAGGGATAGCTGGGTCAAATGGTGGTTCCATTCCCAATTTTCCAAGAAAATCTCCATACTGCTTTCCATATTGGCTGCACTAACTTTCAGTCCCACCAGCAGTGTATGAGTGTATCATTTTCCCCACATCCTCGCCAAAACTTATTGTTGTGTGTATTCATAATAGCTGCCATTCTGACTGGAGGGGTAGAACCTAGGGGCACTTAACCACTAAGCCACATCTCCAGCCCCTTTTATTTTTTATTTTGAGACAGGGCCCACTAAGTTGCTGAATCTGGCTTTGAACTTGTTATCCTCCTGCCTCAGCCTCCTGAGCTGCTGGGATTATAAGCGTGTACCACCACATACAGCAAGAGATCTGGAACTTTGGAGTCTGCAGTGGGTGACAGTCTGGTGGGACTAAGCTCTCAATCTGTGGGTCAGCATAAGAACAACACTGGCTTGTGGGCCTACTGGGTGAGGGTGAACTGATGCTTCAAGTGCCCCATTCCTTTAGTAACAGGGTAGGAATTTTGCTGGACACTGGTAGCTCCTAGGGAAGCAAATGGATGTTTCCATCTTGGGGAAGAAACAGGGTATAATAAGATTATCAACATTAAATTTCCCATTTCCAGTTCTTCACTTTTACCCAATAGGTATTTGGCATTAAGAAATCTAAGAACAATTTGAAACCTATCGCTCCCCCACCCTACCTTCCCTCTCATGTTCTGAGTATATACAGGGGTACTAAACCCTGCAGAGCATTTGCTTTAGTACTTTACCATGGTCAAGGGTTTATGTCTAAAATATCTGGCTTAAAATAGGGGCCTTAGTTACCAGCCATAATGAACACCTACACCTTTCAGATCCAATACACTCATACCAAAAACAGCTGTTCTTTGGATCTATATGAGATATTTCATAAGCTATAAAATCTGAATTATGCCCATAATAACAGTTTGGGGTGTGTAGGTGGTACCAGGGAATGAACCTAGGGGCACCCTACAACTGAGCTACATCTCCAGCCCCCCCTTTTTTTTTAATTGAGATACAGTCTTGCTCGGGCTGGCCTCAAATTTGTGATCCTCCTCTCTCAGCCTCCCAAGTCACTGGGATTATAGGCATGCACCACCATGACTGGCTATATTTGGGATTTTTGACTGAATTAAAAAGTCATCTCTGCCAGGCACAGTGGAGCATGCCTGTAATCCCAGCAACTCAGGAGCCTGAGGCAGGAGGATTGTAAGTTCAAGGCCAGCTTTGGAAACTTGGCAAGACTTGTCTCAAAAGAAAAAGTAAAAAGGACTAGGGAGATAGTTCAATGGTGAAGTATCTCTGGGTTCAATCCCCAGTACCTAAAATTAATAATTAATTAATTTTAAAAAATAAAACTAGCCTCTGCTATTCTGTTTTCAACAGTTTCATTATTCCATCCAGCCTGTTTAATACTATTTTTAAAATTAAATATTGTGGATAATAGTCTTTAATTCTATTTACTTCAAATATGCTGCCACTGGATACAGGTTTTACCTTTCCTCATTACATCTTAAAAATGCAATCCCTTGGCTCAATCTACTCATTTATTAAAATCTGAGTGCCAATTTACATTAGGCACTGATGCTTTGGCAGTAGGATACACAGTCCTTGCCCTGATGGTATTTACATTCTCTTAGGAGAAAAACAAGCAAATAATTAAGAGTAACTATGATTTATACTGCAAAGTGAGAAGTAAATGAGACTATTAGAAAACTATAGAGGGAACCAATCTAATTCAGGTGTGGGCAACATTTTCACTGATACCTGAAAAATATAAATCAGCAATAAGGAGAAGAAAGAAGCATGTGCAAAGCCTCAGGCAGAAGAGATCTTTTCAGGACACAAAGAAGGTAGATGGGCATCTAGTAGAAGGACAAGGAAGAGATGAGGCTGAAGAGGCAGATAGGCTGGATCATATGGGGCTTCTGAATTTTATCCTAAAAGTGATGAAAGCCATTATAAGGAGTTCTCAGCAATATAATGACTTGATTCAAATTATGTTTTGCACTCACTCAGGCTGCTATGTGGAAAATGGACTGGAGAGACCCAGAGCAGATAATGAGACTAGTAGGGCAGCTAATGCTCTTAATCCAGATGAAAATATGGTGGTTGCTTGGTTCATGATGGTGGCAGTGAGAAGAGAAGTAGGCCAACTCCAAAACTATTTCAGGAAGTTCTGGGTGATGAAGGCGATGTGGGGAATAAGGGTGAGGGAAATATCAAATATAATTTTGGTACAAGGTACTGGGCAGATGGTAATGTCATTGTCTGAGCTGAGGAATTCTGTGGGAAGAGCAAAATTTTTCCTGGGTGGCAATGGTGGGGTGGGCTAAGAAGGGTGATGAGTTCTATTTTGGACATGTTAAATTTGCAACGCCTCAGAAACACTCAAATGGTGATGTTAAGTAGGTTGGCTATATGCATCAAGAATAGAAGAAGTGTGGCTAAAAAGAGAAAGTTGGAGTAGTCATTTATATAAATGGCAACTGAAGTCATGGGACTAGAAAACACTGCCTAGAAAGAAAGAGCAAAGTGAGATGAAAAGATGGTCCAAGGCTCAGCTCTGATGTGTGTGAAGATTTTTAAAAAGACAGGCAGAGGAGGAGGATAATATGAAAGGAGGTTAGGGAGAATCTAGAGATGAGAAGGAAATCAGAAGAATTTGACAATACAGAAATCAAGGAAGGCAGAATTCCAGTGTAATAGATTAAATGAAAGTTCACCAAAATATATGTATGGCCTGCAGCCACCAGAATTTAGAAGAGGCAAAGAACAGATCCTCCCCTAAAGCCTTCAGAGGAAGTGCAGTTCTACTGATTTGGTATACTGGCTGATTTTGGAATACTGGCCTCCAGAATTGAGAAAGAAT